AAAGACCGGATGGCGTCGACGGCCGCAGAGAACCTGAACGGGGAGCTCCCTGCATTTTCCCAGCAGTGTGGTACTGCCAGCACTGAAAACGGGGTGTCTGGCTGATGCTTCTAAACATTAAATTGGTGTACCTGTCCTAAGTGGGATTCTTGCTACGTGGCAGGTACAAGTCGAAAATAACATTCTTTACCTAGTGCTAGCCTGGAAATAGAGCTAGTGAATACAGTAATTTTTCAAATAAATTGTTGCTGGTCAGTCCAATTTTTTTTTTTAATAAACTTCCAGGCAGCCAGAATATTGCAGAAATTATTTGTGATCAGATAGAAATGCTTTGTTCAACCTCAAAACTTGGAGTTTTGAATTTGAACATTTTAAGGTATTTTACTTTAAAAAAGACGATAACTGTAAACACATTCAAATGAAATTTTAAAACTCTGGAAAATTATCGTTTGGGCTTGTTTGTTTTTTTTTTAGAAAACAGTTCGTTGGAACAGACCAAATTCAAAACCCATACTGCCGAATTTTTCACCAAAAATGTTTAGCAGAAGAACAAGTTTACCCCAGGTTAGCCAAAGTTCTCCTTTCTTTGAAAGGTATGTCACTATTCCAAGATGTCAAAACTCTGTTCTGCAAAAATCCACAGACCATAACATGCATGACCACTATGAGCTGCTACACTTGACCCAGTTTGGTCTTCATACTGGCAACAACTCAACCCCTAGAGCAAAAAAAAAGGGGGAGAGGGGGTGTATACAGTTGATTTTCTGGCTGATGGCTCTTTCATTCAATCAACAGAGATGCCTGTGCAAAGGTCCCTGCTACAGAGAACGCTCTTCTTGGTGCTTGACACAAAACCAGAGCTCCTGGTCCTTTCTATTCTCACTTTACCTTTGACATGTAATTTCTCCATGATGTTGGAACACAGCATTTCATTACTTCATCCCTTAATGTTTGCAAGATCAGGCCTAATTTACCAATTACTTTTCTCTCTGGAGCAGCTTAAAGATGAATTTGTTTACAAGTGCCCTATGAATGCAGGCAAATCTGTCAGTCCAAAACAGTAATACCACACTTATGAAAATTCCAGATGTTTTCATGTTTACATTTCCATAAGGGAAGCTGTTTACCCTCCCACCGCCCCTTTTATGACTTCACTCTCTGGCATTGCCAACAAATTGTTTTTCTGTAACAGGTTGGAAAATTAGGCAAAAATATATCTCTCTGAGCATCTATGCCCCAAACAAATTAAAACCAAATGTAAAATTTCCAAATACAAAATATGAAATGCCAAGAGCATGCTGGCAATGACACCAGATAATATGTCTGATATATATTATGATTTAATATTAGGATTTCTTTCAAATCCAACTTCAGAGGGGGCTTGGTAGATTTTGAGGAGTGGGCTAATCCAAAATCTGAAAAGGCCTGCCAGCCATTTCACCTGCATTCAGAGAAGTGTTTGGTAAAGCCAGCCTTCAAGCACACGTGGTCACTTGTGAATGGTTGAAAAAAATGGCACTAAAACCTCAGTAAACTTCTAAGCAGACGATGAATTTAGCAGCATTCCTCATCAGAAGCAATTCCTAAAGTTACTCTGACACGTATAAGATAAGCAGCAGAATCAATGCATGCAAACATGCAATAAATTGTTCAAACATTATTTTTCCAGATCTAGGGAAGTTGCCATTTGGCTAAACATTATTTTAAAGAAATGCCTTCTATTACATCCTATCTCCTTTTTCTACTTCTACAGTACATGAAAAAAGATGCTTCCGAAGCATCGGAACAGCCTTTTATCCGTTTGCTTTGTCTGTAACAAGCTCTGCTTTACTCAGCTAAGCTTGAAAGACTCTGTAACATATATCCAAGAGGCCATAGCCTCCCTGATGACAACATTTGCCTACTCTCAGTTGCTAGCTGCAAGGCAGGGGAGCAGAACCTGAAGTAGGAAAAATAGGCTTCCCTTGACTGCCATTGCTGGAGCTGGACATTTTAACTCTAGCTGAGGATTAATCAGCCCTCCATCTTCAGAAATGTTCTTTGCCCAAGTACAAATGACATAAACCAAGATCATCGTCTTAGTTTATTTTTCTAGAGTCCCTACCATGCTACATTAACCTGACAATGTTTAATCTTGTGTTCATTTCACAACACATTTCATGCAATTCACAGCTGTAATTGGTTCTACACCGACATTACACGTTTCGACCTAGCCATGTGAAAAGAATAACTCTTAATATTATTCCCTAAAAAGTGTCCAAGCTCAAGCAGCACAGAAGCAGTTCATGCTAGTTTCATGTGCGTCTTTCTTTTACTTTTTCTTTAACGCAAGGATGATTATTGGCGCGAGACAATAAGGTCCCTGTTTTAGTCCATTTGCATTTGAACTATTTTTGTTTGATTTCTTATGTCCTGAGGAGTTCTCTCTAATAAAACAGCATTCAAGTATTCTAGTTTAACATCCCCACTTGTCTGAGTTAAGGTAAAGGAGACCTTCAGCTTCTGTTTCTGTTATGAATCTTCCAGAGTCCCATAACTGATAGCTTTAAGGTCTTCCTTTGTAATACACACTCAGCACTAAAACCATAGAGCATTGCTATTTGGCATTATCCAGTGAAGTGCAAGAAATTAAATAAGTTATGTTTTTATTGCTACAGTACAATACCAAGCAAAGTCACTTTTTAATACAATTGCAAGGGTTTCGTAGAGAATGTGTGCCTCCTCCTAGGGCCCAGTAGTTCAGCTGCACTGCAAGTATCACTTAGTTATCACATGCCCAATGTCATCTAAGAAGATGTGTTGAGTATTCTCGAGTCAGAAGAATCGGACCTTTCTTCATACTCATCTTCTGTATAAATAGGTTGCTTAGACACGATAGGACATCCGTCATCAGGGATGGAGATCCTCGGATCTTCCGAGGAGCGAGAAGGAAGGACAGGTGAACTTCGGAAAACGCTGGTGGAATTGCTGGAGAAAGGGCTGACGTACTGGGACCGCAGCTGGTACTGCTGCTGCAGCGTCATGGTGTTCCACAGGGTAACGTCGTTAGGCAGGAAAGGGCTGGACTGATTCCTGGCCAAAGTGTTCCTCAGCATCAGCGGGTAGCGCGGGGGCTGAGGAAAAGGGTGCTGCAAAGGTACAGCCAGAGGATTTGGCACAACGTTGCTGGAATCAGTAGAGAACCTCAGGGTGTCGGGAACCCTGAACGCCGAGCCCACGGACCACTTGGAGGAGGAGATAGGGTATGAACTCAGCGTGTGCTCAAAAATGTGCCCGTTTGAAGGCAAAACGAGGCCATCAGACTCTGCAGCGTTTCTGTCCCCACTAGCTACTGAGGACCGACTGGACAACAGAACTTCAACGGCACTCACCAGGTCACCGCCGCACCCCTTCAGGATCAGCTCGAGCACAGTTGGCTTCTGGTTCGGGAAGATCTTCTTCAACACTTCGAGTGGAGGTCTGTTGGCTTTCAAACTGAAAGGTAAGGAAACTGTCCCAGAAGGACCTTCTATCAGGAGATGGTTCTGCTCTGCGTGGTACTTGGGGCTGTCTGGTCGGCTCTCTGTGCTTCCACCATTTTTCTGAGCCACATAACCAACTTCGTCCACTGAAACGATTTCAGGGCTTTCGGGAGTAAAGCAGCTTTTGGCTTTATTCATGTCTGGGGAATTCCTTTGGTCTGTGTCTTTGTCACTGTAAGTCTCGACATTGTCTGCTCCACTGGCATCACCCAATCGCTCCTCATTGATGTCTGCAAAGAGAAGGCAGAAGAGTTACCACTGCAGTGAGGCCAAAAGGCTTTACATACTTTTGACGAAGCACTTCTCATAAAGTGAATTAAGCAAGACTCTGAGGGGGAGCAGTTTTCATAGAAATCCTGCTAAATTAATTTTTCTTTGCATCAACTTTGCATCTTGAGAACAAGACAAAAAAAAAAAGAGTAATGTGACATAGTCTAGGCACTTTATACTGCCTTAAAGATGTCTGTCTCATTCTCCCACGTACAAGAGGCAGTGATCCTTTTTTTTTTTTTTTTTTTTTGCAGCCTCAAATACACTAGACCAATCCTCTCTAACTGACCATAGGCTAGGAACATGCCACCCACATGCAGGCTTTCTCAGAGGAACTTCAGCTCTTTCAAATCAAAATTCCTTACTAGCACAGTCTCACTCCTGCTTTCTCACTGGCTGTGGGCTGCAGACAACCAGAGGGCACTTGGCAGACCAAAATTCCCTCTGCAAGTCCAATAGCATTGGTGACACCATGCCATAATGACTAGTGACTGGCTCAAGGTTGCAGGAGTCTTCAAATGTATCAGTGTATTTCAATTCTGATTCTGCAGAAACCACTTCCTTCCCCACCAAGAGCCACAGGTTCTTCTAAAACCCTCAGCATAGCTGATGCGCTGGCCAGTTAGAGCACATAATCTAGAAAATCTGGTTTGGAAGAGACCTCCAGAGGACAGCTGGTCCAACCTCCTCTTCAAAGCAGGGCTAAGCTCAAAACTAGAGCAGATTGCCCAGGTCCCTGCCCAGCCAGGTTTTAAATATTTCCAAGGATAGAGACTCCACAACCTCTCTCAGCACTTGTTCCACGTATCCTGATTTTTGCATGCTAAGCAGGGAAAGGTGAGAGCTGAGCACAGGGCTGAAAGCAGCCTTTACCATGCAGTCTCCAGATGGACACTCAAAAATGGTGATACTCCAGATCTCTGGTCAGTTCTATAAAGCTTGGCCAGAGTTTGCAAACTTTTGAAATTAAGACTGCTTGTCAGAAGCAAGGGAAAAGGACCTAGTCAACAGCTTTCACAGTTTATGCACAAGGGGGGGCAACGTATCTTGCTTGAGATTATTCACAGTCATTTCCCCGAGGCAGCTGTTCCCTTGCCCTCCCCCAACAGCCCTCTACCAAACTCCCTGGGAAGTACGAGAGTCCGGGGAAAGGTGCATTGTTCAAGCTGAGGTGGACAGAGCCAGCTCTAAATTGTGCATGGGACCACCACAAAAAAATGTGAGCTCCCAGCAGAGCACAGCCTGGCAGTCACCGTGACAAAGGGGGCCCAAGGAGACAAGTGGCTCCAGGCAGAAATGCGGGGCCATCGTAAAGAGCCACAGGTCCAGGCACAGAAGACGAGGATTGGTGTGGAATTGGGGAAGACGGACACCCGACTGAAAATCTTGCCCTTCTCTTTTAGCTAGCTGGATCGCCTATGTTGTTTTTGCATTGCTTGTGCTCTGTGTCCAGTGCGAACAAGAGAAGCAATAACCTTTCCTGTGAGTATATTATAAAGAAGGCAATGGGTGCATTATAAAGAAGGCATTGCATGTAAGCACTTGTTTATATGTTTGGTGCATCACTCGTGCCTTAGCAGCAAAAAGGCAATGCAGGAAATATTCCCTAGTAAACTGCTAACATGCATCTCCATTTGAGGGAGTTTTAATACCTGGATATAGCTCAGCCTTTATTTGAAAAAAATAATACGAAGAGCACACTAACTTTCCTTCCTAATCCTTTCTTTCGCATGTTCATAAGAGTACATTTATCACAAGAGACACGATGTTAAGAATAATTCACAGCTGAGTGCAGGGACAATTTATACATGGAAGGATTACAGGGCAGCCTAGAGAACAACAAATTGCCTTTATCCCTGCATTGGCAGTGATAGAGATATTTAAGGGAGACAGTGTTCTTAACTTCCACATAAGAAGATCACACTGTTGTACCCAATGTTACCAAGCAGACCACATGCAGACATGCGTATTTCAAAATATTGTGCATCTCCAGTATATATTTATTGGCTGAAAATAACCTCCACTGGGGAGAAAATATATTACGTTGAAAAATATAATTAGATTAGCTCCCCCAAATGATGAAAATATAGCGCTCCTCCTGAGTGATGGTTGCTTTCAGTAGAAGTACCTCTATGAGGTTTGGCTAAAGATTTTCTTCAGATTCTAAAAACTCAACCTGCTGAAGTTTGTATTGTTAGCACCATGGGACTGCCACACAGTGCCTGCACAGATCCTTACTTGCAGGGGGACAATTTACTTGCACGCATAGAATATAACAGTGCATCTCACCAGACTTTCAGATTCACAGGGCAGAATCCATAAAACGAGATTTCAGTGATTTAAGTAAAAAGCTGTTCTTTCAATAAAAGGGGGATTATCCCCTAGTGGTAAGCTTTTAATTTGGATCCTATTATAGTTTTTTTCCTCTGTCTTTTTGATAGAATTATTCGCTGTCAGGACGTCAAGCGTTTTTCTCCCGCACACTTCAGCTCAAAGCTGTTGCAGTGTAAGGTGTCACATAAGCCCAGTGCCTCAGACTGGTGTTTCGGGCGGATCGGCGGGCAGCTGCCTACTTGCCTGACAGGTTTCTGCTGATTTCCTGCCTGGCAGGTAATGTTTTGACTATGCATTCCTCACCTCAGCACCACTTCCCTCACCACACCCACGGCGCAAGCAGCGCTAGGCAAAAAGTACTTTCTGGGGACGGTTCCGTCTTTTTCATCGAAATTGCGGTGATTGGATTTTTCTTTTTTTTTTACAACGGGCACAAAATAGCCATCGTTAGATAACCAACGGGAAGGTATATTGCAAATGCCTTTACGTGGAGCTGAAATGTAGAAATAGCACATGCAGAATAACCACACAGAGTACATAAAACTCGTATTAATCCCAAATATCTGTATTTTCAGGTACAAAGATATTCATTTCAGGAAATGAGACTATATACCCCACTGCTCTTAGCCAAAGGTATCTTTTGCACCACTCATAGTCTTCACGTGAAGATGTTGTAGTTTTTGCAGAAAGAAATCTTGCTCCCAAAGACTTTTTACGGTTTTTTTAACATCTATTTCAAACTGCCTGCATTCAGTATCCATTTTGCTTGCCTCAGGAAACGAGGGAAGTTGTCTCCTTATTGATGTAAATGGAGGAGATTATTCATAAAATAATAGGCATACAGAGACAGATACATACGCAGATCTACAGAGGTGCTGCGTAAATACAGATGTACATGAAACAATACAGTGCGTGTGTTCACTGTAAAATCTAAACTAATAAAATAAAGACGCTACGGATGCAGTGCAATGTATACCTCATTTTCTCCTTGCTTCTTTATACTGTATTAAGGAACATGAAGCAAATATTGAAAAGAGCCAAATAAAGTATGAGGGGTGAGAGAGAGAGGGGCTGTTCTCCTTACGTTAATAACTCGTCTGGAAAAGTTTATCTAATACTTGGGATTCAAATTTGTTTCCTTAATAGTCCCACTGCTGACTCTGCGAAAACAGCTCTGCACTTAGGTTCTTAGGATAGCTTTTTCTGCAACCCAGAATTTCTCAGATCCCAAGCACATCTGCTGTTCTCCCTATTTCTATTATTAGAGTGGACTGACACCAAAAATATTAGAAAGCCACATAAAGTTAAGGCGTGCAAAACTTAACGAGTTTAAAAAAAAAATCACTGTAGACTTCCTTCTGTATATTCAAAGGTCTCATGTATTTCCTGGGAAGCTAGTGACTGTTTCCAGTCTGACACGGAGACTGCCATGCTGCATTAAGAAGTTGGAACTGGTATTAACAAAAGACTCAGTGTGGCATTATATTAATTGTTTACAAGCCCGGGTAACTACTGCTAAGATGAGTATGACATGTGCTCAAAATACAGGAGTATAACGCTAAGGAGGAATTATTCTGCGGTAACATAGGAAGATGCAATAGGAGTAGTTTCTAGCTGCTTTATTTGCACAGAATAGAACTTTCTGGCTGTCCTACCGTCAGAAAATAACCTATTCTGGCGGCCAGATGCTAGTTAAAACAAATGTATCTGATCCTACCTTCTATCAGGAAATATCGCTCTCGCACTGGATAATCTTCTAAGAGATTAGTAGTGCCCAGGATCCAGAAACAGGGTGGGCTGGGAGAGCACATAATTACATTGTGCATTTTAACGACGTTTTTAATACAGGTAGCTGGGAGAGAGGGAAGAGAAAGAGAGGCCGTTCAAAGCAATCGGTTGTCTGGAAATGAACAGGTTATCTGGGTAAATAGCTTTCGGCGGCAGGCGGCAAGAAGAGCGGAGAGGGTCCGTCCCCGCCAGGAGATAATTTTACGCCCTGCTCTCACTCCTTCCCTTACTCCTAAAACAGGGAAAACAAGCTTTTGCAGGAATACAGGCTTCCATGCCCGGGGATCGCGCAGAGGAGGTCTGTACAACTGAAGCTTTTTTTAATCAGCTGCGAAGCCGGGTGCCAGGGGTGCAACCCTCGCTCCGCGCAGCGCAGGGGCTCCGCGCTGCGCCGGGCAGCGCAGCCGTATGAAGATCTGCTTCCTTTTTTCACCCATAAAGCTGTTAGCAGAAAGTGCTGACTGGCTGGCAGGGAAGAATTTCTAAGCAATACACTTTGATTGTATTTTGCAAACAAAATGCCTGTTGCTTGGAAACATTTCACTTGAGCCTGACCTTCCCCAAAAGTTATTGCTATCAGATTCGATTTACACTGTCCTCCCGTGATTACTGTAATCTTTTAAGCTGGGAAGTTCATATATCAGGGGGAAGAAAAGTTGGGCGTGCAAGTCAATACCGTTCCTATCCGCCGGATTTATATCCTGCTGGCGGAGTTTATTTGTTTCACTTTCTGGAAGGAGCCAAGTCGGCTTTCCCCCTCAATCCCCCCCACCCCTCCGCCCGACCCTAGGAGCTCGC